ACTGTAGCATTTCCCCTGAACTAATCGCATATCCGCAAATTCGTGAAAGGAAATTGAAAGTAAGTCACAGTTTGACAAATTATTGTTATTATTGATAAGAGCTATCCACCTGTAACTATCTGTTAATGACAAAAAATATCATTGCCGATGTGCCTTTTTAAAAAAAATTTCGCAATTTGAAGCAAAGATCCTAATTTTTTTTTTGAATGCTTAATAACAAAGCTGACATTCGATTTTCAACTGATAATATCTTTATAAAATTTTTAATTTTTTTCTAGTACCCACCAAGTGAGCTCCTATTACACCTTAGAAAATAATGACTACATTTTTGAATCACCCTGTATATTTGTTTGAATAGTGGGTTCTTAATGCTATTTTTAAAAGCATATCGGACGATATTTAATTTTAATTATTTTCGATTTTTGCCCGATTGGTTCTTGATTTAAACGTACTAAATTTTTTATTAATTTTTCATCAATCACATATCACACGGTGACCTTGATCTTCCATTCGAGGATTTTGCAATGCATCTATTGGTTCCAAAAGAGTGATATTTACCATTCCGATTGTGTGCGTTAGAAATTTAAAAACTAAAGAAATGTTTAAGAAGTATTTTTCTTCATTCTTGATTTTAGGCGAATCGCCCGTTCAATTATTGTTCACTTGCGTAAGCCTGTCGCTCCATCGTTTCCTGGGGCGTCCAACGTCTCTTCGTCCCAATGGCCACTTGTCGCGAGCGATTCTCACAAGTCTGCGGTGGTCCATCCTGCTTATGTGCTCATTCCATTCGTTCCTCCTGTTTGCTACCCATTCATTTATATTCCTAACAGTACGGGCTGTTCTGATATCCTCGCTTCTCTCTTTATTCAGCAGTGTCTTTACGGTGATTCTACGAAGTATTTTCACCTCAACTGTCTCTAGCAGTCTTTTGGTTTTCGCTATTTCCGGCCTGGTTCCTGCGGTATATATCATCACCGGCCTCACGACGTTTTTGTAATACCATATGACATTCAGACAGCCAGCTATTCTAATTGCTTTTATTGTTTGATCTCTCACCTCTGCCTCAAAATCCCCAAAGCCGGAAAGATAGTTAAATTTAATTTTCTGCTCGATTACTCTACCGTCAAGTTCCAGTTTGCATCTTAGAGGGGTTTTTGATGTTGGTAAACACTTTGTTTTGGTTAGCGATATTTCCATATTTAGAGACTTGGCTGTCAGGTTGAATAAGTGTAATAACCTTTGTTAGTCATCTCCACTTTCTGCAATGAGAGCGGCATCGTCAGCATAACAAAATATAACTATTTCTGCATCCCCTGTTTTGTATCCCTTTAGCCCTCGAAGACTTCAAACAATTTCTTCCATTATTAAATTGAAAAGGGTGGGAAATCAACAAAACACATATACGCTGGCTTGTTGCATTCAATCGATTTCTCGACTATTTGTCTTAATACGAACACGGCGTCTGTGCAATATCTTCCCGATCTGAATCCCTGTTGTTCGTCTGCCAACGATGTAAGATTGTTGATTTTGTTCGTAATTACTTTAGTTGTTAGTTTCAGAGCAGAGCTTAAAAGATTTATTCCTCGATAATTTGACGGTACTCCCTTGTCCCGTTTCTTTTTTTGAAAATTAGCACAGTAGTGCTGGTTCGCCATTCATCTGGGATTTTATGTTGATATATAATTTTCTGTATCAAAGTTGTTAATTCTTCTGTTAGTCTTTGCGCACCGTATTTGAGCAACTCATTTTGGATATCATCTTGCCGGCGGCTTTTCTAATTTTTAGTTTTTGTAGTGCGTTTTCTACGTCGGATGCATTGATCGTGGCATCTTCGTCAATAGTTATTTCTGGTCTGGTAGGCTCGTCAGCCGTGTTTGTCCTTTTCTACGGATCGCTTTAATATCTGATCCACTGTTTCTTTTTTATGTGGGTTAGTTCTAAAAGTTCATTGACTTCCTTTCTCTGCGATCTTATAAATCGCCATATCTGCTTTTAAAGCCCGTAGAAATCACTTTCCAGGCGTCTGGAGAACATTTCCTAGTAATCGTTACTAAGTTTTCTCATTAATTCTTTAGTTTTGTTCCTAACTTGCTTATATTCATTAGGTGATTCTGGCGTTCGCAAAGTACAATATCTTAAGTAGGCTTTGATTTTTTCTTGGCACTGTTCCTTGACTTCTGGATGGAACCATGGACGGTGTCTTGTGGTTGATTACTTGGTTTACAATTTATCGTAAGTACATAGATATATCATTAGTTTCAGCACATTCTCGCTAACCCTTTGTTTAATTTCTGGGACTTTTACGTTTCCAACTCGGGCATTAAAGTCCCCAAGCACTATCATGGGTTGGTCACTTAGTAGTCAGTCAATTGTGGCTTGGAGTTGATCAAAAATCGAGTCTCTCAGGAGTTGCGGTCTGTTGCCTTCTGGTGCATATAATGATAGTACATTTATTGTTTGGTCGTCGTTTGGTCACGATATATTCTGCATATTTGTTGTCAAGAAGTATTGCAACAAATAGCCTTGAATAAACAAATTTCGAATGGTATTTGCTGATATATGCTGGAACACTTTGAGGCCAAATAAAAAGCAATACTTAGAATAAGACACGGAATTTGTACTCACATGTCTTGGGGTTTGGATGTAATTATCCAAATCCCGTTGAAACTCTACCAAATCACCAACGTTAACCCAGCCGACAAATTTTAAGAAACCAAATACAAGCACAGAAATGACATCAATTCAAAATTTAACTTTTCATCTGCGTTTCTTAAAGATTTTGAAAAATTATAAGGCTGTATCTAAATATCGTTAAAACATATGATCTATATCACATTAAATTTTAAATCTTTAGTTTACTATAATCTTTTCGAATGTCGGTAGGTCTGGATTTCTATTTCAAGCCAAATACATCCCCAACCATAAGGAGTATTTAAGAATTTACTGTGGTCTAACTGCGTTTAAAAACATTCAAAAGATCTACCTACCCGTATATACTGACCCAAATGTTCTGCGAGTGTTTCATTTCCAACGTAAATGCTTCGAATTTTTTTGCCAACTTCATAAGAGCCAACATCAGCCTTGTAATTAAAATTAGCTGGAACTAGTGAACTAGGAGTTTCATCCGCACCCTCAGCATATTTCATTAAAGCGCCAATATCTAAAATTCATATGTTGTCTACATGTTTCATTTTAGAAGCACTACTCTTATTTCATAGGTGTGAAAGATTCCGTTTATTTGTTACAAAGCAACAACAACCTATCAACATTTGATTTTACGTCCTGAGCTTACACTAGAAGTATTCGCCAAACCAAAATTACCAGAGTCCTAAAAATTCCAATACAAGGTAACGATGTTGGGGCTAACTCATCTAAAATATTTTCAAGGCGGTACCACTTCCCGTTATACCGGTTGTAGGTACTTACTCGCCTAATTTTAATGGATATATTATTACATTATAAGTATATTATTACACTTTTGAATTCTCGGTCGGATTTTTGGGTCATTTTGTTAAATGAATTGGGTACGAAATTTCAACCGTTGTCGATTAATATCCATTTTTCCAAAAAAATTGACAGGTGTAGGCTTGGAAATAATTCGTTGTTGCGCCTATTTAGGTCAATCAATTTTAATAAAACCTTAGTTTGATGTAGCCAAAGGTGCCATCTTTCAATGTGCTAAAAATGAGTTTTGCATCTCTTATGAAAAAGAAGTTATCGAAAATTAAAAATGACTGCCAGAAAAGGCATATTAGCCAAAATGGAAACCCCTATTTTTTTCTATTCAGATCGATTTCAGAATTCAGATCGATTGAAAAATTAAGGCAAGTTTCCGACCATCAGCAGATACTGTAAGACGTCTGATTCAAAATTTGGAACAGTTTGGCACATTTAAATACTCTGCTGTTGATAACGAGCCAAATGAGATAACCACTTTAGCGTATTTCCGTGCATATCCTTACAATTATATATATATATATATATATGTATACGCATGTCTTTCTGTGAGACTATTTTACTAAAAATACAAAAAATTCCAAATTTTTTGAGTAATATTATATGGACGGACGAATCTAAATTTACTAACAATGGCATGTTTAATAGGCGAAGCATGCATTACTGGAATAACGACAGTAGCAATCCTATTCGCGAATGTCATTTTCAAGAAATTTGGAACTTTAGTGTGTTTTGTGCTATTCGTAATAACGAAATTTTTCACGTCTATTTTTACAACGAAAATTTGAGAAGTTAGTAGTTAATAGTTGACTTATGCATTTTATAATTACTGCATGTATGTATTTAATTTCTAGGGGAAATTTATCTTGCAATTTTAAATACTGGAATTGAACCCAGAATAAAGTAATGTAAAGCGGGACATTTTATGGTACCAACAAGATGGTGCGCCCGCTCCCTCACAGCCCCAATGCCGTTTCCATAAAACTTTACGAAATTTTTGAAGGTCGTTGGTTTTCCAATAAATCAACGATCCGTTTCAATGGCCGCCTAGGTCACCTGACTTTAGGCGCATGGATTTTTATCTTTGTGGTCGAATTAAAGATCTTGTTTATGCTACACCATTAACAACCAAAAAAGATTGCATTGTAAGGGTGCGAAATGCCTTCAACTCTTTTTCCCCTGAAAAGCTTTAGAGAGCTACAAATGGAGCTGTTCAACAATACCTTGCATCTAACGGACAACATTTTGAACATTTATTGTAATTAAAACTTGAACAAGTAATAAATAAGTAATAAAAATTATAGTAGATTGGTAGTTTATTGAAAATAACTATGAAACTGTTTTGCACATTGAGACATGGCACCTTTGGCTACAACAAGCTGAAGTTATATTCAAATTGATTCACTTAAATAGGAGGAACAACGAATTATTTCCAACCCTGCACGTGTTAATTTTTTTGGAAAAATGGATATTATTCCACAACGGTTGAAATTTCGTACCCAGTTTATTTAACAAAATGACCCAAAAATCCGACAGAGAACAGGTATTCCATTTAAAAAACGCGAGTAAGTACCTACTTCCGATATAACCGGAACTACTGCCTTAAAAATATCTTAGATGAGTTAGCCCCAACATCATTACCTTGTATTGGAAGTTTCAGAACTCTGAAAGTTTCTGTTTGGCGAATACTTCTAGTGTAAGCTCCCAAAGACGGACTCTGTATATATTGTCAGAAACGTTACACATGTATACTGTACCGTTAGCCAAAGAAATTTTTTCCTCTGAATTTACCCCAATTATTGTCGGTACTTGTGTGTAGTTTCCCGAATCGAATAACTCAAACATTGCTTCGCTTATAAAAGCGTCAGCATGATATGGTTCTATAACTGGAAGTGCTTGCTTCTGAAAAAAAAATCACTCGGGTATTACTTGATTTCTTTGTTGACATGGAATCGTTTTGTCTTAAATTGCTATCAAAATTTTAATATAAATTAATAACCAAATGGCCAAAAGATTTTGCAACACCTAAAAATATTATTTTTATGTCGTTATTGTTGTCGTATAAAGCAGTTTTAAAGAAAAAAAATGAGTCCGGGCGAATTAAAAAATTGTTGCAACAGGTCGTGAGACAATTAGAAGATAAGGAGAAGAAGAAGATCTACAATAAAACATTCACGTGAAGAGAAGTAACGTAATTGATGACAATTTTGACAGCGATTCAGACCAGGACCAAGGAGTTGCTGAAAGTAACGTTTATTGCAGTGAGTCTGAACAATAAGCAGATGAAGGACAAGCAGAATTTGAACCACGCAAACAAGACATCATCAAGACAAGATTATCAATTATTTATTGGAAAAAAACAATGATTACCTATCATTTTTAGATTTCTATTTTCAAATTTTTTACTTATTTTTTTAAATTTTGTTAGCATTTTTTCAAGTATTATTTATAGAATTGCATTTATTTTGGGTTACTTGTTTTAATTTCACTTATTAAATACATAATAAAGTAGTAAATGACGTTTTTGTTAAAGAAAAGCATTTGCGGTGCAATAGCCGCGGCGCGCCCGTTTGTGAGATTTTTAAAGGCGCGCCCACTGGAGGGTTAATTTAAATTAACAAAATCGTGTTCTATTTGTTAATGTGTGTTTTGGCCTGGCTTTTAATTTAAGGCGTGTTAAAAAATAATCTATTTTTAGTGTTTCATAGTCACGATTGGTTTACATTTACAGAGGTTTTTCAAACATGCACTGGACTTATGTCTGGATCTACACTGAATCAATCCAGTCTAAGCTTTCGACGAATACGCTGTTAAAGATGCAGGCTAGTCGTACTTGCAAATCGTTAGAAATACATTATTTTTCCGTCGGCGTAAAGTCCCGGAAAACTGAGCGGTTTCAATTTTATCTTTCTTTGACTTCCAAACCACATTGAAGTGGTTAATTTTTACTCTACTCCGGTGGATGCTGTTTATATCTCGTCAGTAAGTTATCCGCTTGCTCAGTAATATTATGTGTTTGTTAGAGCCTGTTATCACATTATTGTAATGCTACAGAAACGTATTATTACACTGAAGCATTTCGAAATTCGCAGATTTTCTTGTCCAGAATTGGAAGCCGATATTCAGTGAATTCCCTTCTGAAGGTTGATATTACTATTAAAAACAATTTAAAAGTTTCTATTAAATTGAAAATTCAATTACCCCTAATGCGGCAGTTGAAGCAGTATCTATAATTTTTGAATCAACTCCTTGTAGAAATTCAACCAACTCGTTGGTGTCGAGTTCTGTTATAGTACTGTCTATAGTATTGGCCAATTCGATTGCATAGCCGTATGGATCATTCTGATAAGCCCAAGTATTCAGAGGTGAACCACTTTCAATTATTGCTGCTCTAAACAAACCTGAAAAATATATTTATCTTGTAACAATCGCATTCGTCAAAATGTTTAAACAATGCATAGTTTAAGAATTTGCCTTGGGACTTATCACTAAGCAGTTGCCAGCCGACTGAAGATCCTCCAGCACTTTGTCCTGCAATAGTAATTCTGTCGTTATCGCCTCCAAACAGGTGCACATTTTCGTAAGTCCATTTCAAAGACAAGCTTTGATCTTTCAGGCCAGCATTTCCAGGCGCAGACAGGTCGCCAGTTGCTAAAATATGGTTTAAATAATAGCATTTTTAGCAGTAATCCGAAAATGGAATAGGAGCAACAGTTTTTTTTGTTTAAACGTGCAACTGCCTTGATCTTGTACAAAATCCCGTTCAGATTTTGCACCTTAAAAATAATACCACGCAAATGAGATCCAATTTTGGACGACTCAAATGAAACGTGAAAATATTGTAGGGCGATATAACAATCTGCGGTCTTGGTTGACATTTTATAGAGTTATCCAGAAACATATTATGTTGACCGTCTAAAGTATAATTTAAAAAGTTTGTCATTTCCAACTCAGATTTTACATTAAAAAACTGTAGGCCTGGGTACACTGTGTTGAGTTGCGCTTTTGAATTGATGCCTCTCTGTGAGTTGGTGAGAATTGCGCTTGTGGCGAAATAATTCTTGAACTTTTAAACAACACTTGTAATTAGTTGAAATTTCGTAGATTTCCATCATCGCTCTGACATTCAGCAAATTTAATTTTTAAGTAATTTACTCGCGTTTTTTTTGTTTAGTCAATATTTTTAGAAAACCAAAACTTATTTGCTTGTTAACTTTAGTTTCGGAGTTGTGCATTAATCACTGCACTGCATCTGAGTGCAATTCAGACAAATATAAATTACTCTAAACTTAAAATTAAATTAGATAAACATCGGCGGCTGGAGCGTTTTTCAGTTCGTTGTAAACTTTCGTTAAGTTGGAACGTAAATTTTGCCCTTGAAAATGTTTCAATGCAAACAGGCACTTTCTATAAAAATGTCAACAATAAACAAATTATAATCGAACTGCCAAGCAACAGCAGCATAAAGAAAGATCGAACCTGCGAATGATTATTTAATAACGTTTATTCTGTATTTCAGTGCCTTTTTTCCGAAAAGGTGTTTGAATATTCAGTTTGCTACCACCAGTGGACGAAATCGGCCGATAATCCTTTGTGTTGTGGGAATCGCGTTCTCAGATGGGAAATATGGAATCATTGTGACCTTTATGGCAAGTGCGGCAGTTTTTGAAATAGTGAACTTTTTGAGGATGAACGGGCAAAAAATTTAGGATAGGGCCCCGGCTTGCAGAAAGCTGGTAAGAGTGATCAGTAATCTATAAATATTTTAGCTTGAACTGAGCTTGGTTTTATGGAGAAAGTTTTATGGATGCATTATATTTTCCTTTCTTTGCTGTGCTGATTTCAAGTTTGGCTTTGAACAGATTTTCTGCTGTACTAAAAACATTTTCTTCTTTCTGTCCAGGTGGCACTACGCAGCTAAGCTTAGCATTACGTTGCCCCTGGTTGGCATGTACATGTAGAACTTTTAGCCCCATATTCATCAACTGACTTTTAGCGTGGATTTCGTATCAATTCTTGAGAATGGAAGTGTCAGTAAAAGAACTATTGGTTCTCTCGAAGTAATTGTTTAAACGTTGGTAATATGTTGGGCGGCTTTGTATTTTTTATGTATATATACATATATATATATATAGGTTCGTCTGAAGCTTTTCGCTAAAGAACAGCTTCAGATATGAAAATCTAGGTTCCAGTATTCAATACAAGAAGCATCAGCTTACAGTTAGTGTGGATATTTGGTTATGATTAAGCCATTGATTCCTTCACAATAAATGTTTAAAGTTTGGGAATACTTTGGGCGGTTCTGCATTTTTGCATCTAGCTCATATAAAGCTTGTGTTCAAAGAACCGTTTCAGGTATGCAAATATGGGTACCAGTTTCACGTTTTGTTGTATAAAAAAATTAAGATTTTTTAAATTGTGAAATAGACTAAAACATGACGCCGCCTTGTTTGACGTTGTTCAAGAACCATTTAAGCCACAGAGTTCGTTTTTATATCATTGGAGAAAAAATTGCTATTTCGTTGCTGTTAACACAACGCTATAATGGCTATATCACAAAAAATCACACGAAATTTGAATATCAAAAATGCGTGACTGCAAAGCAACTGCACCGGTGAGTTATTGCGCCGGTGCGTTGGGTTGGCGCCAACTCCTGAAAGCTGAGTTACCCATGCCTAACTAACTGCATATTTGCATTTGAATCACTTTCAATTAATGTTATTTTTATGTCAATGGAATTTTGATTGAAAATGACTTCACAATAAAGTGGCTAAAACATAAAACCAGTGACTATTTTTTTAGATGCCCAATTATAATAGAAAAAATAGGCATTTCCATTTTGAATCTATATCAGTCACGTCAATATTGACGCAATTAAGATACCCAAAAATCCAAACGGTCCCACTCGATAATTTGGGATTACGACGACAATATCCTCATCCATCCAATATTGGGGCCACCAGTCAGCGCATCCATTTATAAATCCTCCGCCATAGATCCAAAAGACTACTGGCAATTTAGAAGCATTTATTTCCTGCAACGCGTGTAGTGTTTGGCTCGGCCCTCGAAATAGTAATTAAGTACTGCTTACCCTATCCAGTATGGGAGTGAAAACGTTTAAGTAGAGACAATCCTCATTCTCTCTACCAAAATCACGAGTAACTGAGTAACAACAGTGTTTCAATTCAGTGGTTTCCAAAGTTTCATTCCAGTTATCAGGAGCTTCGGGTGCCTAGTTATATGATGAAATAAACAACACGGCATCAAATCAAATCAAATTTCAAAATATTTTACCTGAAATCTTAATGGTCCAAGTGGCGGTTTTGCGAAGGGAATACCTTCGAATGCTTGATATGTTCTGTTGGTAAAACTCTGTACTTCGTGACCTTTTATCTGTCCTTGTGGAAGTGTTACCAGGACTTGCGCAGCCTTAGAAAATATATAATTTATTTTTAATTCGTTTTGTTCCACTATCATATATCTACTAAAAATTACAATATCTATAACATTCGAAAAATTTGCACAACTACAAAATTCATAGTTTAAATAAATATTCTATGGCAATAGCAGATAAGTCATACTTTTTATGGCAGCCCCGCTCCC